TGAATGGTGAATATCAATTTTAATTACGTATCACGCATTAAAATCTGGAAATCTCGTCATTGTGCGGGAACACAATGCACAGACAGAAGTATGAGAGATATGATCAACAATTTCACACTCCACACCTCGGGTGCGTTTTTTCAATTCGTCAGAAGTGCTTTATTTGCTACGATAATATCGCCCCCGATTCCACGATACCATAGTTGAGAGACCATTGACTTTACTACGGGCCTTTTTAAAATAAGTAGCTTTTGTATCTAGGCGTCTGTATTAATTACTTTTCGATATATTTGAGTCTGGCTATGATTAAAAAATCTTGTACACTGTCATTTATTAATGTTGAATAGGCTTCGTAGTTGTTGCAATGTCCTTCATAATAAGTTAATTTAAAAACTAGCATTCCGCCGCGACTTCGTCAGAGTTTAATTTTTTTAATTCCTTATAAAAAACAAAAGAAAGTAGCTTATGTGTTCTTCCAGACTATGCTCTACATCTATGCCACATTCCATCCAGACCTGTTCAGCCGTTTAGACTATAAACTCTAACAAACATCCATCCATCTAAACTTTCGCATTTATTATATAAGTAAGGAAGAAGTAAGATTTTTAGACAGAATTATTATAAATTTTATTAAAAGAACTTTATAATAACATCACCCGGGTCTTTATTCATTTGTTTTGGCCGTAAAACTTACTTTAATAAGTCTGCAGTCAAATCTTCTTCTAACGAAATAATCTATTTGTAAGTTTAATATCCTTTATTTGTTAATAACTAATCACGACTCGTTAACAAACACACTGAGCAGTAACAAATAACCGCGTACAATTATAAAATCAAACGAAACGTGCAAAAACACATAAATCTCGGTGTACGGGGCATGTTGTCCAAACTTCGGTAGAACCGTCACTCCCCCGGAATCGACGGGACACGCTCCTATTTACCAGTAACCCTAACTGACCCTTAACCCTGCCTACCTAAATATGACCTTTAGGCCTAGCCCTCGGACATTGTGTAGAGAATTAATCGGCTGGTAGCCCTTTGTAGTGGACACTGCCCATCCTTTATACGCGACCGTTCCTTATTGTGCTTGAATTAAAAGTATTTTAAGTGTCCCCTATGGTAAAGGAAACCGGTTTGCAATTTTTTTTGCCATTCTGAACGGTCCAGCGGTTGTTATGTGCAAGTTATTGGTTAGAAATAGTGAAAGTTTATATAAAATCTAATTTATAAATATTCTAATTACTGTCCATGATTACAAAATAAAAAATGTTTTTTCTTTTAATTTTGACATTCCATCTTTGTTGCCAGTTCTTTGGACATTTAACGAATTGAGTTTTTTGATCGACTTCGCAAAAGGAGGAGGTACTCAATTCATCTATAAGTTTTTTTTTTATTTTTTATTTTATTTTCTCGATTAGGAAATAGTAGTTTTACATCGGTTTCTAATTTGTATTAGGCCAATACGAACTCAAAAACAACCAAACGCTCAAATATTAAATAACAATATTTGTATGGAATTCAATAACTCGTTTCGTATAACTATTTTGCATACTGCTCACACCCTCTGCAATTGCATTTGTTATTATTAGATACAATTTATGGCACCGGAAGTGGAGCCCTTTGAATTTGCATATGAATATTGTGCATATGTGTGGATAGATTACACACACAGGTAAACTAACGGAGTGTGGACGCCATTTAAATGAACTTAAGATAAAATGAAAATTAAAAAAAAGAGCGTAATGTACTGTCTAGCTGTGTCACCAGTCACCACATAAGCTTGGTGTATCGTCAACCTATGTCGGTCGATCTCCTCCTCCTTTCTTCTCAGTATGTTGTTCTTCGCCGAAGAATTAGAGATGCAATACCTTTGACACTACCACTGGCACAGTTATCTCAGTCCTAACTTTGATTCAAACTTAAACATATTAAAGCACTACTCGAAGTTATTCTAACGAATTGATCTCTAATCAACTTATACTAAGTGTTGATTTTAGGTATTCTAAAATCTTTCACAGGAAAAATTGGTTTGATATGTTTTCCTGATAAAGACATTTAAATATATCGTTTTTTACGATATCTATATTTAAAAATGACTTTATGTAAATATTTATATGATACATAAATGAAAGTAAATAGAGGCTTCTTATCCGGGATTTGTGTTTCATTCAACCTAAACCCTGTCACTCAAACTGCCATACAACGGATCAGTAGGAAAGGTGTGCGATATCGCTTATGCAAATTTCTATTTACACTTCAAACTAATATCAACTTTATAGCCTCACCACAAGGGTTAGTTCACATTGTACCGTTTTAGAATAAAAATAATATTTGCATACAAATATTCCTCACGCAAAACTCGTAGTAATTGTTTAGCAGTTAATGTTGTTTTTCGTATATCAAATTGATTAGATTTAAAACCTTCTATTGGATATGTTCATCTAATTTGCATGGCGCATTGTTAAGGGAAGTTTTACTTTTTAAATGGCCACAAAAGATTTTTTTTAATAAACAACATTGCGAATGCCCGCGAACTTTCGCTCAACATCTGCCTCGAATACCCTTTGGGTTTGCGTAATTTGAATATTGCAAATGTATCGCTTTGCATTTCCTACCTGAATAGTTCCTGCATTAGACTATTGTTGTAATAAAATATACTGCTTACATGCCGAATGCAACTCGGTTGATTATTAGAGAGTCAAGTTACATTTTACATTTTTTAATTACTTTTTGCAAGATCGAAATGTAAAATAGATATAAAAGTTATATGCTCGTCTCGTCATACACTCTTTTTGCAGTGTCTACATTAGATGGACATTGGTTAGATAACTAAAAATTGCGAACGCAAGGCTGGAAGTCAGGCACTAACTGTTGTGGTTTGAAACTAGTTATTTAAAAACTGTATTTTGAGACCGCCTCCAGTGGCTTTGACTATTATTTTGCTCCTAACACCACAAACGATATTAAAAGGTGTAAAACGATCAAATCCTTTATAACTATTTTACTTTTATTCAAAAGTCCGTAAACGTACAAGACCTTTGTATGTAATAAATCAGTTTCTACAACAATTTCGAAATTATTTACGACGCGTGCGGTAATTATTAACAAATTCAATAATTCGTTAACATCGCAGGTCATTCCGGACAATGTGACTCTTTGTAAAGAAACCAGTGTTGCCAGTGCGGACAGTTCCCCGTACATTGGGGACTTTTATAAAGAAATATAGCGAATTATAAAAAGGCGCGTGGTCAAACCCGTTCTATTGCAAATGAAGTAGAAAAACTGGTTGTTGCGAAAAGCCCGTGCATTCTATTTTGCGCGGATTTGCTAAACATAATGATTTTGAATGTCGACTATTGTTCGTAAACGCAGTGTACGAAAATTCACGGTGTTTGATTGTAAATAAATATTTTGTTATAATTTCGAACCGATGTCGGGCAGATGGTCGTAATTTGTAAAGATTTTGTATAAAGAGTTTAATAAAATGCTCGTTGTTGACAATTTTAATAGTTTAACATTAAAAAGATGGTAGCATTCTATCTATTTAATGAAGATAAATGCTACTATAAGGATCATATACTAAGAATTATATTTAAAAAGATATTCTGTCTTTCGTAAATGTACTTAAAATAAGTTAATTAAAATGGTATGTAGGCTCCTCCTTTAATTAATTTTTATAAAGCCCTTGAAAAGTTATGACGTAAAACTCGATGCAAAAAAGTGTCATTGTTTTTTATCAAGGCAATGTATAATTTTAAAACCATATAACATATTCCATGTTAAAACAAAAGTGAGTAGCCTCTATGTTCTCTCAGACTATCCTCTACATCTATACCGAATTTCATCGAAATCCGTTCAGCCGTTTAGGCCACATACTCTAAGAAACATCAATCTATCCATCTATCTATCTAAATTTTTACATTTATAATATTAGTATGAAGTATGATGTGTAGGGCAACTTAGAAGTTTTGATCTCAAAGCTTGCTTAGATTATAATGTGAGTATGTACTCATTAAACATAATTAACGGTAAACCAAAGCAACATGTACCAAATCTCGAAATAACCCGTGCACAAAGATCAATTAAAGCACAAAATTTAAATTTGAACGTCGAATGCAAATTGCGAGCGCGATCGTTGGCGCCAAAATTCGGTGTAACGATGTCCCGGTCCGCCTCACACACGAGCCCCGCCCTACGTATGGTGGCCAATCGCACGTCGACGAACACCCTCGTGCCTCACGCATATCGATCTGACGAGCGGACAACGCTCGAACGGAACGTTTTCGACATATCACACGCTAAACACCGACAAACAATAACATATGTCGAACATGCAATGGATTTTACACTCTACACGTTGTTTTTAAAGTCGATTTTTACTTGTACACCTAAATAGCACTTACTGTTCGTTTGCATACTGAGTATTCCATACTTTCTGTAAAAACACACTAAAATTAAGCTTCAATATAATCTGTAATAAGTTCTTAGGTTAATTTTTCTTTGTTTAAAAAATTATTATAGTGGTTTATGCAACAGTAAAAGTTGACCTATTTATAACTTCAACGTATTCAGCAAAAAGCATATACATATTTCTAAATTAAATGTGAGTTTCACTCTATATTTAGAATTTTAAAGAAAATCACGATTATTCTATTAAAATTGAATGGTATCATGTTACAGTAGTGTTATTGCAATAAAAACGAAATTTTGGAACATAGCGCCATCTATTGCATAAAACTTGTACCATTGTGCAAATTTTTCTATAACCAATTCTTTGTTCGTATTAAGCAAAAGATGTCGCTTTTACTATTTACAAATGTCAGTACTATGGTTAAATACCTAACATTTTTATAGTAAATCTGTATTATATGAAATGCAAAACAAGCAGTAGCTTTGACTGGTTTAAATAAAATAAGGAGTTTTGAATTAATGTTTTATTCATATTAGTAGCAATAAATAAATAAAATCAATAACATTAAAATTAATTAGTAGCTAATAAGTTAAAACAAATATTATATTCTGTAACAAAATGTAATGTTAAGACCTTATTAAAAACCATATTTTTATAAAAATTATGAGTCATTTACAAGGCACATATTACATACATGCCATTTAATTTCCGTCCTGAAACCAGCCAGCCTAACCTACTTATTAAAAAAAAAGTAAATAAACTGACAGAAAATGTGATTCTTTTTAAATAGAAACTTTTTAAAACTCTTCCTTTTCATACATAATCAACTATTTTTTGGTAAACATCAAACATTTATTTTAACATAAAATTTTTACAAAACTTAAGTCAAAGCATAATTAAAATTGTCAAAAAAAAAAAAGATTAAAGTACTCTTAAGAAGTTATACACAATTACAAACACATAGAAATAAAACCAATCCTGCTAACAACAAATTGTAATTTTTAACACATTTAATGCCACTATTATCTTGCTTCATTTTCATAAGGAAAATCAGAGTTGCATGGAATTTGTTATATCTAGGATACTCAATTTATCATGTTATACTTCTGAACATAATACTTACTTCCCATAAAAATACTGGATATGCCATGTTGACATGGCAATACTGGAGGTCCTTTATGCAGATTAAGAATTTATATGCACTACTCTTGATGGTTCATTTAATACTAATGGTATATTCCCACCACTATTTTTTGGTACCCATCCTGCAGATTCTTCCTCCATTTTTTTCTTTTCTTCCTTCACTCTTTCATATTCATCTATTTCAATTTGGTATTTCGGAGTAGTAATGCCAAAGAAATTCGCAAGTGATTCTCCTGCATAATCCACAGCACCTAACATTTTTGTTCCCGATTTTTTAGCATAATGCGAGAACCACGGACCCCATGTAAGAGTTTTCTGGAATTAAGTATAGAATTTATATTTCAATTAAATATATTAATATGTGTGTCAATCAATGCTTATTATTGAATTTACCGGATCAACGCTTTCTTCATTGTTGGGCGCACTTGCTAATTCATTAGCATTTACTTCTTCGATTTCCTCTTCAATACCGTCGCTAAAATGAATCACTTTAATAGGACGTTTTATTGTAACATTCACTTGATCCGTTTCAACATCTCTCGTTTCCATGTTGAACAACGTAATATACTTTGTTTGAAATAGCAAGATTTGGGTAGGACTATGAGTCACTCCTTTTAGTATTCTGCACACAGTCTAAAATTATTCGCAAAGGCTACAACTACAACAAAGACTGTTTATTTACAACCAATCATCATCTTCATTTTACCAATGAATGTCAATGTCAGCCGACAGCTGACAATCGCTGTCAAATGAAAATGCTTAAAAAACTTGCCAGTTTTTGAAATACAAATGTTATTATTTTATTATTGTAACGGTTTTAATAGATCATGACCGAGTACATGCTAAATTTTAAGGGCCTTGATTAATAGTTTGATAAAGATTTTACATCAATCAGAAAATATTGGTATAAACTTACAGTGTCATTTTGACGTCTTTTTTGACCAATGAAAGAGCAGCAGCTGCACAGGTAAATGTCGCCATATTAATAATTTCGAAATTCCAGGAAAAAATATGACGTTGAAATAACATCTACCTAGTTATATTTGCTAACTATGGTCATGGTAATGCTGACATACGACTAATAGTTGTAAATTCTGAATGTAGTTATTATTAAGAATATAACCTCGTTTTTTATTTAACAGTCCTTTAGCTGTTTTTGTGATAACAAAATTAATTTTCTCAAATTATGGATACATAATTTGAGAAAATTAATTTAACAGTAAATGAATTACGATAATTGGAGAATTTAAAATAAAGTTAGGAATTTTTAACTCAAAGTCACACTGTCAATGTCAAAAAAAAAGATTCTTGTTGGACTATACCAAGCAATAACAAAATAATAAGCGAAACTGTGTTTTAAATGTTATTTATTATGATTATAATTTTACATTGTTATATTTTAAATAAGTTTAGTGGCAACTAAAAGGAAGTACATAAAGTGTTTAAATAGATTCTTTCTTTGTTAGGAATACTTACAAATGTTCTAATTGTCAGTCCATTTTCATATTGATTAAGCTTTTTTTCATTTTGTTTGAATTAATAAAAACAAGTAATGGAAGTATATTGTAGAGGATGTTTAGTTCAGTATAATGATCCGTCTGAATTGATACAGTATACAGAGAAGAATAGAAGATTATTTATATATTGTACTGGTATACAGGTGGGTTTTTGAATTCTTTACATAAAATTCACTTTTAATATACTGAGTACTATGTTTTCAAAGATGTTGTTAGAATAACAATTACATTATTGTTTAGTTAAAAACTATTTTAAACTTGTAAATACAAACCAAACATTTATTTCAGGTTAAATTAAATGATAGTTTTACATTCCAATTATGCAAAGACTGCTACCTCAATATGCAAGTTAGTTGCAAATTTAAGAAGTTATGTCATAATTCTGATAAGAGAATAAAAAATTACTTAGCTTTAAAAAATTCTGGTGAAAATGTTGACTTATCTACCTACCTCAAAACAAATGATGACTCTATAACATTCAGGTAAAGTTTTTTTATTTATTTAATAATTTAGTTTATTGCTACACAATAAGAAGTCTGGACTTGGCCCGAAGTGTGAAATAATCTCACTAAATATAAGAAATAGAAAGTAGTCCATGTTTTATCTTGTTTAGCATGTTACAAAATTTTATATCCCAAGTCCCTAGCTTATAAAGCAACATGTATGTCATATATGTTATATTCAAATAAAAGAAATGTACACTATCCTACAAAAAGGTACCAGCTTCTTACAAAATCAAGCTTAAGAACCTAGGCCCAGAAGCCCTAGACGAAGGAAGACAATTGCAATTAAATTATATTAAATTAATATTTTATTATTAGATGTTCTACAATTTGTTTATTATTAATTTGCAGGCTACCATTGCTTGGGAATAGTACACCAGACAAAAGTAATGTTAAAGATGAGGATAATGGTAAGTATGATACACTTACTAGATACGCGATAGTGAGTGGAAGGTGATCTTTATCTTCATATAAGTGTAATGTGATATAATTTACAAGGACTGAATTTCATTATGATATATACTTGTGACTATCTGCGATAACTTGTAATTGGCCTTCATTTTTTTGTTTCTCTTATTATTATTTTTTTAAGCTAACTGTAAGTTATCCGTAAATAAATAAAATAAAAAATAAAATAGAATAGTTAGCTTCTTATTAACAATCTTTCCTATATCCTTATTTTATTTGTTGAAAATTCAAATATAAACTTTACTCTTTCATATTATAAATGTGAAAGTTTAGATGGATGTTCGTAGAAGGTATATCTAGAACAGCTTGATGAAAATAATTTCACCCCAACAAAGTCGCAGGAAAAAGCAAGTACATAATGTACATTTATTTTTACAGAATCAACATGCACAAGTATACAAAACTTTATCAACGACATTATGGCGTCAGAGGAGATACCGGCCACGGAAGCGCGCATCATACGGGAAGTGATAGAGGAAGAGGCGGATGTTCTAGATGATTCTTTGGACTCACATTGGCTACAAGATGATTTATCTATTGATAATAGCTGCAAACTAGATTTCAGGTAAAAAGAAAATAATTATTGATTGCCAGATTTCTTCATCTTCTACCAAACTACAGACAGTTATTAAACCCAGGTTTCAAGGTCATATGTTCAAATTAAATATAACAGCACACTTAGTAGTGTCCCTTTATCAATGTCAAAGACCTATCTTGTTGTTACTTTAGGTCATTTTCTATGACTCTAGGTTTTAAATATTTTCTAATAGAACCCTGAGCTTGATGCGCTATATTTTTTTCAATTAGTTGAACCAGAATAACTGTTAACAGTTATTGCTTTAAAGCATCATCTTGTTCCTATGGTGCAGCATGTGCTGCTCTTCCATACATCTCTGTAAATCATATCTGGATTTACTACCTTTGAATATCCTCTTTTATACAATTGAACTATACTTCCTTCTGTCCTCTACCTTTGTCCGCATTCACTCTTGATACTTTCTTCTTTATGTCATAATTTCTTAACATATTGTTCCCGTAATACTCCAACCTTTCTTCTAAAATAATCCATAAAAAAATTAACCTTTGTATTTTTGTTCTGATAACCATTAACTTTCTTTTCTATCAGTTTCAGTCCATTTGTAACACCAAATTATGTGAACGAAGATAGTCCGAAGAAATTTATAAATGAAATTATAAAGAAAGAACCTGAGGAGGCCGTCACATTTAAAACACCAGAAGACATCAGTGTTAAAGTCGAATTTAAGCTGGAAGATTGTAATGAAATGGAAACGAAATGTACAATAGACCAGAATTTAGAAAATGCCTTACAAAATGAGAATAATGAAAATGTCTTCTTGGAAGATTTACTGGTTACACCTCCATGTAAGTATGTACTTTATTATTTTTAGGACAACAATACTCACAGCTGAATACTGAAACGACAGATAAATTATTAGCGTCTTTAATGTTAGGACTATGTTTAGGGTTCCATAGCTCAAATGTTATGTCTGTCAGATTGTAAGTAATGCTTCTATAGCATTGGTAGATTTATTTCAGTGTTTGGCTGTAAGACCTAACCTAGGCGACAATATCCATCATTTATGCCGTTTTTTTGTTTTTTGTTGTGATTTTTAATATTTACTAAGCAGCTCTGTTAATTTAATCTTATCACTGGATGTTCCTAGGGAATAATATTATTAATTTAGGGTTTGTTAACTATATGCTTTGTATTTTTTTTTAACAAATATGTAGTAATAAATATTATTTTGAACTTTCTGGCTATATTCCTTAATTTTCGTTCAAACAGTACTCCTTTGGAGATTCTTGCTTGATGACAAATAGGAAATTATAAGGGAGCTCTTTTTAAACAAAGGTATGTGATTTGATTTACAAAGTTTTGTACAGAAGATTTGTTCACTGTCTAGATAAAGCTAAAAAAACTATAGTTTAAAAAAATCTTTAGAGTAATTATTAACATTATTTGCAGTACAGTCAAATATATCTGGACCCCCAACTCCTGTGATAAACGATATACTATTCGGTGAAAAATTGGAAAGTGACAGTGAAAATTCTTTAATGAAAAATATAGGAAAATGTATAGAAGAATTTAAGCCTGTTAAAACCGAAAACGATGTTTTGGAGGAGATCTTAGCTGAAACTGTCAAAGAATTTGACATAGATGGTGATATTGAAATGAAAACAGAAATATTAAAAGAGAAAAATACCTACAAGAACAAAGGTAAAAGAAAAATCAACGACAAGAAGAGAAAACAGCTGGCAACAAAGTGTTCATCTCCGGATGAAAATAAATATAGTGTAACTAATTTTTATTGCAAAATGTGTAACAAACAATTTAAAAATCTGGCCGCGTTGAAAGTGCATTGCGGTAGGAAACATAAATTAAGAATAAATTACATAAATCCTGATCCTAAAATAGGAAAGCCTAGAATTTGTGATTATTGTGGAGTGATATATCATCGTTTACCACAATTTATAAGGCACATTAAAAGTCACACTGTAAGTCATACTTCATACTAATATTATAAATGCGAAAGCGTAGATGGATGGATGTTTGTTAACGTTTGTAGCCTAATCTGCTGAAGGGATTTCGATGAAATTTGGCATAGATGTAGAGGATAGTCTGGAAGAACACATAGGTTACCTATTTTTGTTTTTTTTTTTTAACCCACGCGGACGGAATCGCGGGCAACAGCTAGTAATATTGTAAATGCGAAAGTTTAGATGGATGAATGGATGTTCGTTGAAGTTTGTAGCCTAATCTGCTGAAGGGATTTCGATGAAATTTGGAATAGATGTAGGGGTAGTCTAGAAGAACATATAGGCTACTCACTTTTGTTTTTTTTAAATCCCACGCGGACAGAGTCGCGGTCGAAAGCTAGTATTGTATACTTTGATAAACTTTTTACTTACCATTTCAGTACTTTTCATTTATTCCAAATCCACTTGTTGATCTTCTAGAGTTAATTTTTATATTGAGAAGTTGATGTTATCGTAATATTTTATGCAATAAACCTGTATTAATATGTCAGTATTGAGACGTCTAGAAAAATCTGGAGACAAGAAATGTCTTTAAAAATTCGTTCGTTTTGCGTTCAAACTTAAAGAACTGACTTTACAAGGCGCCCAACACGAAATTTTACAAGAAAATTTCGATTTGTATCAGATTTATGCTGCGTATCTCTTCGGTAAAGAAAAACGACAAATCTACAATTTTTGAAGATAACATGATTTCACTGTCGCAAATGTTTGTAAAAAGCCCCAAAGATAATTTACTTAAATCATTTTTTCTTATTTCAGAAAACCGTAACACCACGTTCGTATGTATGCCAGCTTTGTTCGTTGAAATTCACTTCTAAGGCCAAACTTGATATGCACCAGAATACTCACAAAACGAAATCTTTAGATCCACAGAATGAAAAGGTAAATTTGAAATATTTTATCAACTATACTCAGTAGATATATTAAATTAAATATGTTTCTTAGCAAGGTAGCTTTCTATCTGTAAAAGATTTTTTTTTTTAATTTATTTATATGAAAGAAATGTTTTAACGCTTATGTAACCAAAAAGTGTAGGCAGAGTTTACAGGTTTCAAGTTGTATAACCTTTCTTTACCTCAGAGTAGTAGCAGAAAAAAAGACCATATACTTTAGTGGGTGGTTTTGTTGTCAACATGAGAGAATTTAGAAAGAAGTTGGGAATTTTTTGCTCACTGGTTACTCTAAAAACTAGCGGGCCCAACTAACACCCCTATAAATTAAAAAAAAAACTGGTGATCATTGTAGGTATAATATAGTCATTTTTATTCATTGCTTAACGTTAGTAATAAGTGTGGAGGTACAACGGTAGAGGAAGACGTAGAAAGAGATGGATGGATTGCGTGATAAGTGACCTAATCAAGAAGGGAGTGACTGAGATGACGTATGATAGAGTTATTTGGAGGGCAAAAACCTGTTGCGACCTTACGGGAGTAGGAAGAAGATAATGTTGCTTAAAAAATGATTTTATCATTATTTTTAAAGAAATTCGTTTGCACTATTTGTGGTGCGGGCAGTTCGTCCGCCACCAACTTGAAGACACACCTCCGCCGGCACTCCAAGAACTACACGGTGCACTGCGAGCAGTGCGGCCGCGGCTTCTACAGGAAGACCGACCTCACCACGCACTACAGGTCACAACATAACATAAAAATTGTTTATTTATGAATAAATAAATAAATAAACACTACAAAGCCTGGTACACACTTGGCTAGTACAGCCAGTAGTGGATTATATGGATTTACTGGCAACAGTTACACATTTAGGTAGTTCAGGTTATAAGCGCTATTGTCCAACTGTACTGGCCATGTGTGAACCAGGTATTACATTAAAACTTATTCCATTGGAATGAGAGTATCCATTAACAAACAAGCTCATGTCTCTGGTCATTTTTTTCTCACAGCTATATAACTCTAGCTACTCTTATTTAGGTAATATTTTCACTTTATTTCATAAATATCACTAAATAACTAAAAATGTCGACTTTTTAAACAATATTTTTCGGTTCAGATGAATGTCAAATTCCAAAATATGACTACCATGTATGTAAATTTATGTAAATTTAACTTGCGTTTGGAACAAATTATTATAATCATATTGTAGACATATTCAAAAAAGATAATATATAGCTTCTATCCCAAGTTTTCTCGCTTTTATTATAATAATATAGGCACACAATCTCGTCTGCTACTGTCACTAACTTGTTCTTTTAATGATTTCAGACTCCACACTGGAGAAAAACCTTACCCCTGCGAGCATTGTAATAGAACATTCGCACGACGCGACGTTCTCAATAGGCATATGAAATGTCACACAGGTATGTTGAATTTAAGTAAATAATAGATTTGATAGTTAAAAAATCTAAAACTCCACTATTTGCCCATATAAAGCTTAAAAAAATACTTCTTATTTACCAAAATCAGTTTAAATTCTAGGCTCTAGGCTGGCTCATCTGGCAATGTTTATTTATAGCCTATAGATTTGTTTTTAAATGTTTAAATCGATTTAAACATATTTGTTTTAATCGACTTTAAAAGTAAAGGTTCTTAATTCGCTCGTCTTTTAGGTATGTACATGACTACACTGACATTTATAATCCAGTTTACGCTTACTTTTTTTGTTTTGAAACAGAATAATCCATTTGGTCCCAAAATTGAAAACAATGTCGTAGTTTCCAAGTTTTCCTTAACCTCTAATTCGATGGAGGTTTTAATAGTAAAAAAAGTTACATGTTACCAACATACCAGTCAAAATATCACGTATTTTTCTTTAAACTAGTTCAGTAGTATTTTTTATTAGTTATTCGTCGTACCTAAAATCCGATATTTAAAAAAAAACTCATATATTTATGTAATCTTGTAAAGGAAAATTTTTTTTAGATTAATTATATTGTAGTAATATTTATTTCCAGACGAAAAACCATTCGTATGTCCGTACTGCGACATTCGGTATTCAAAGAAATATAACTTGCTAGCACATCTAGAGAAAGGCAAGTCGTGTCGCAGCACATTGCCTACAGAAGGCAAGGACGATAGCAACGTGGCGGTGTACTACGCTCCCGTCGTCGGCAATGACGTCATTGTGGATGAAAATGAAGCGAAAGAACTAGAAAAAGACTCAAACGCTGACGAAACATAATATGTTAATAAAGATTATAATAAATAGTTATTGTTTTATTTTACTAATGGTCCACCGCGACTTAATCCGCCGCAATTAAAAATATTGTAGGTTATGTGTACTTCCAGATTATGTTCTACATCTGTTTTTTGTCGTTTGGTGATAAATATTAACAAATATCAATTTATCTATCTAAACTTACGGATTTATTACTAACTGTCGCCTGTGATTCCGTTCGTGCGGAATTAAAAAAAAAATAGTAACCTATGCTCTTCGAGGCCGGTTTCTATGTGTATACCAAATTTCATTGGTTTCGTTACATCGTTCAGGAGATACCTGCAAATATTCAAATACAAAAAAAAAACGTAATCCAAACGGTTTAACGGATTTAAAACTATATAACAGAAGTAAATGAAACATGCTATTTAAGAATAGGTATGAAATAAAACTATTATTCGATAACACTTGATTATATTCCATAACTCTTGACATAGAAAAAAAATACAAAATTTAAAAGTACAACTTAAAAACAAGAATTTGGTTCAACATTAGAAAGTAATGAAATATTCCCTTAATTTTAAGATTTCATCTACTTCATGAAATATGAACTTACTTGAATGAAAATATAATTTCGTCATTAACCCTTAAATACGTGATTTTTTCAAACCTTCGGAAAAAAATAATTATTGTAAGATCGGTATTGCAATAAAGGAAAAATAAAACCTTAGCATCCAATTGTATATATTTTTTGTTGAATATTTATAACACTGCACATTTAAGAGTTAAAATCAATATTTTGAAACATTACATTAAATACATCTGATTCATTTTAAATATGTTTATTTTTACAGGTACTTAATATATGTTAATTCGTCTAAAACGTTAAACTTTAAAAATGACAACTGTAACTTTTTCGATACAATTTTTTTATATAATTATATTTTAATATCATTATTGGCAAAACCTGGCCGCCTTGAAGATCTACAAGACATGATAAGCTGCTATTGACATCAATAATTTCTTAGAAGATACTTAATTAAATAAAAAAACTTATTTTAATAAGACTAAAAACTATTTATGACATAAATAAATAACATTTCATACATGTGATGTCACATTTTTACAATAAAACTAAATAAACACTTGATAAAATGAATCAAGAGAATTTTGAATTAATTGTATATACCACCTACATTTAATGAAAATAACCAATCATAATCAGATAAGGAATTTAAAAATCCTCAACATATTGTGGTAAAATAAGAAATTAATCACTTTGTACACATAAATGGTGAAATAAAAAGCACATCCACAGTTAGGGTTTTTATATTCTCAGTTAGGCTAAACCTCATATTGTAAAATTAATCCCTTCGTTGTGGTATTATTTTAACTAAATATAACTAAAACAATTTTAAACTTAGGACCAATAGATACATCTATCCTCATATTACAACTTATTCATACCAAAAACATAAAAAAACTCAATTTAAAATTATTTTTTTCTATATTCACAAACCTCAAAGCGTCACAGCACCTTCACACACAAATATCAAATTTGTTCAAATTCATTCACTATATTATGAACTAAGACTTCTGTCCCCTCGGTCTGTGGTAAGTTTGTGCTTGGGAATTGTCAACCAATTGTTGCCGCATCGAAGTATTTTCTTCCCTTAATTTCGTCAACTCTTGATTCAGTCTTAATATTTCTATAACAAGCTTGTCATTATCCACTTCTAGTTTTTCCAACCTGGAAAAATAAAATTTTGGTACATAAATACATGTATTGATATCTAAATGTAATATTTTATAACTAGTGACGGCTCGACTTCGCCCGGGTGGCAAATGATATATATTAGCCTATGTAAGCCAAAAATACAAAGAATATTCAACGGTTATAGTAAAATTCATCCAAATGCTGTTCAAGAGACATGTTCTAGCATCCATCCATCTAAATACTAATATGATTTTACAAAAGTAACAGAACTAGTAACCAAACATTACATTTAAAATTGAAATAAATCACAGAATACTAGTTTACAGGTAAATAAACACTTGTATATAAAATATCTCACTCATCTATAATGGAAATCCCCCCTCTACAAAATTAATTAAGAAATTTAGTGTAGAGTAGGTAAATTTTGTGAAGTTCTAGATGTTTTAAACATGAACATTTTAGCACTGCAAGGCCGGCACGCCCGGTGTAATACCAGGACCACACAGAAGACAGGCGTGAAATGGAAGCAATTCCGTGTTTCGTCTGATGAGTGTGGTGGCAGAGGCCTAATTTAAGTCCCTTTCTCTTTACCATCCTTTTCTTATAAGGAGAAGTTGGGAAGGGGAAGTGAATTTGACAGTAGAGGAGATGCATAGGAAGGGGAAATATCCTCTTTATGTGCGTCTCCTCCTCCGTCGTATAAGGGTAGGCAACGCATCTGCAATTGCGGATGTTTATGGGCAGCGGCGTATTCTAGTGGCCGCTTGCTCATTTGCCACTTTATGTTATAAAAAAAAACATGAACTGACCGTTTTTGTTTCTCCGTTAATTCTGTTATATGGTCACATGCTTTAGCCAGTATACCTCCTTTGCTCGCTGCATCAGGTAGGCCTGAGTTGGGAACTAAAGCTGCCAACTTTGTTATCCAACTGTTGATTTTGTCCCGACGTCGTCGCTCTACCTCATTGTGTGTTGCACGTCTCTTGTCATCCCGCTTCAAAAATAACATTAATACAGAAGTAACGAAGTAAATCAAATTTATTGGACTACCAACCATTGGCTGGTGACAAAAAGAAAATGTTATACACCCATGATAATTCATAAATGACTAGCTGTTGACTGTAATTCAGTCCATGTGAATTAGAAAAATAATACTTTGTGTTCTTCCAGATTATGTTATACATTTATTCAAAATTTCAACGAAATCCATTGAGCTGTTCTGGTGATATTTAGTAACAAACATCCATCCTTCTAAACTTTCACATGTATATGACATAAAAAAAAGGCATCCAGAGAAACTTGTAAAATGTGTCTCTGGATATCTTTTGTACTTGGAATACTAGAACATACAGAATTAAAAAATTGAAAAACACATTGGCATGCGGTGAAGATTGAACCTAAACTTATAATTTGTGGTCTGGTACAACTTTTAACAATTGTTCCATGAATGCCCTACATTTATATTACCTTTGTCTGGTTTTTGTAATAATTTTAAATATAACTCAAAACACTTACTTTCTTAGCTGTAGTGACTGCTTTGGCTTGCAATGGTTGCCTCCGTATTGCTTTCTTTTGAGCCGGTGCAGTTGAAAAGACTTCATCCGAGTTAGTTATTACAAAAAATTCACCATTTGGAATTACTGAAAAAGTAATAAATAGGACAAATGAGATATAATAAATCTAGTTGCATTTAAATTTATACTATGAGAAAAATACTAATTTACCATGTGCTGGTGAATGGGATGCCATGTTATTGTTACTCTTTTCTCCAGTCATATGGACTAGTTTGTATGTGACCGCACCCGCTGAAAAATATTATTCTTGTATCAGTTAATATTCATGTAATTGCAGTATTTGTTCAAAGATTACATATGTCAGAATAGAATGGAACAGAACAGAATAAAACTGCTCACTTTCTTACAATTGTAACTATAGTTCTTTTCTAATCTCTTATGAAACATTTCAAATTACTTTTACATAGATGAATATTGTCCATTCACTTTTAATCAAACTAAATAATAAATGAGATTTACTAACACAGATCGCGAAAATTGTAGGGCGTACTATTTTCTTCTTCGTTGCTGTCTAAAAAGCTCGGCGATACTAATTGTACGTTGTCTTTGGAATCTTCTGCAAGGAATTATAATTAAATTTAAAATATCACCACCACATAATTCAATAATAAATAAACTAACATGCTGCATCTTGGCAAATACTAAAACAAATAACTAGGCTAACCCGCTAAAGCTAGACAATTTAATTGAAGTAAATCAATTTGTAATATAAGAATTATTGAACAATATTGTTCCTTGCTAGTTTTAATTTAATGGTATTTGATAACGTACCGTAAATTGGATCTTCCATTACCACTAGTAATTCGTTGTCAGCACTGTAAGAAATGGCGCAAAGTAAATTTTAAAGAGAATTGCCAAAATCTTAAAACTACAAAGATAACTTGGCAAATTGCAAAACTAAAATGACGACCTTCGTTGGCAGCTAATTGTTATTATATAAGACGTATCTCCATACTTGTAAACATAGCGAATGATGTTATTTTACCTGTTATCAAGTGAATTTTCTTCTACGTCTGCTTTTATTTCCACTTTGGACATTGCGCGTAATTATTTTTGAATTTTCTCAACTTGGTCACGGGGACAAATAAATGGTCATGTGATGCGGCTATAAACAAAAATACAGATTAAAATTGTTGAACATAGACAACGCTTAAAATAATTGTGCTCTTTGTACGCAGTGTATAAATTGGCATTCGATGTAATATCGATTCTTGTTTAAAATATTCAAAGTATGAATCAAAATTGTAAATAAGTTACATTGATCATATAATTGTTTACTCCCATACAAAAAGCTTTCCAGGAAAAAGTCTCACGAAAAATTAATCTAGAACATCGTCGATCGCCGATTCTTCCCGTGGTGTTTCATCGTATTTGCTTTTCAAATACGATGGCCGCTTTCTGGACCTAAACAAACACGAATTTAAACGGTTACGAGTTGATATTAAACGTAAAAGCAATCCTATTACGATTTACGATTGATTTCTCAACATAATTTTTATAGTATGAAGATAAATGTACAAAATTTTATTTACTACTTTTAGGGCTGTTGAAACTGGTGTTTCTAAGCCTAGAAGTAAGGTCAAAAATTAATGTATTTTCAAATTGTCGTTGCCCATTTGCTTTTCGCGTTGTTCTAGTTACTTAGCAAACAAATTAATTACACGTCAGTAAACGAGTACCTGACAATTATCCGCAACGACTATACAATACACATCATATCTTTTGTAATCTGATAGCCCTATTCCCTTGCAATAGAGTTTAAATTTATTTCTCTTTTTAATGTGAGCTTCAAAGAGTAGCAGGCGTTAATACAATAATAACTTGTATACTTGACTTTAATGGCTTTTTATGGAGCGATATAGCTGTGTAATAAAAAGCACTCTTTGTTTTATGAGCGAGAATCATAGCTTTTGGAAGTAGACATTTTAATGAAAAACTGTGTTTACAAGTTTAAATGCGACCGCGTGTTCTCTTGAAATTCTCCGAAACGGCTGGACCAATTTTGTCAGGACCTCTATGAGAAGGTAATGATTTATGGAGGAAAAATAGATTTTTTGTTCAGTTTTACTCAGCGAGTACCAGCTAGTCGTTAAAAAACTAAATAATACATTGCAGTACAACGTCTGTATGAACCAAGTTAAACTGAAACGATTGAGATAAGCCACGTATTAGTCGTAACAATGTTTGCTAAGTAATATTCGGTGGGTTCGGATTGTGTACGCTGCGCACTAAATAAATAAACTTAGCATTATAACAACAACTTCTTACCACAAGTATACAGTTAAAGCACTTATTTATCTATCCATAACTTAATAAAGATAAATGGATAACTTATTATACAAACTGTATTTTACTACAATTTGTACAAAGGAAAAAATGAGGTATTTTGTTTTTTTTTTTAAGGACTTTTGTACGAGCCTTCTGGGTAAAGACACGGTAGTAAAACCCCTTAACAGTTTATTTGCAAATTTTGTATAAAGTTTGAAAATTTATTCATAGTCATTTGACTTGGTTGTCGGGTAGGCGATAACTTGTTAAGGGCCGTCTTTGAAATTCCGGTAGAAAGGGTCCATTCCCTTTGATTAAGTTAAATTGTACCCTTCTTACTGTGAGACATATACCCAGGTGTTTTGTTCACGGGATTATGTACTTTAAAGAAGTATTGCGTATAAACATTATTTAATGGTATCTCTAAATATCTTGGTTATTTCCAAACCAGCACGATTTAGGGTATTTCAAGTGGCGAGCTTACCATTTCCTCAAAGGCCAACGCATCTGTAGTTCCTCTGGTGTTGCGGATGTACATAAGCGTCGTTGACCACCTCTGTATTCTCGCCGCTCGTTTGCCCCCCTTTTCTTATAAAAAATAAGGATATCGACTTGGTGACAGTAATTTTTGAGTGATTAATTCGGACACATGTGGCGGCTCTTTCTGACAGACGCCTAAGGTCGCCCAACAGTGCTATAACTCTCACACCGTCTATAAACTACCACATTCTTATGGTAAATATTATTGTGTAGTATAAAAACGAAAATGTACAGTTAATGTAACAGGAAGGGGTCTTGAGGCCTACTGATGCAAATGGGTCACGAAATGGCCGGAAGTTCGGAGGCGGATGTCCGTAAGGCGTAGCAATGTAGCAAATGACAAGCACACCTTATGTTACTTATTATCTATTTGTTTTATTTTGTTTATTTTAAAATATATAATAAGTTATTATTCAAGATATTTTATATGACTCGAAACTGGAAAAAATCTGACGTAAATAATCGTTTCTCGTAATATTTAATGAAGTATGATCCCTTGTTTAATACGACCGACAAATGTAAACAACTCTGATAGGCTATAAAAGGATTAAGTCAAGCGCTGCGTAATCTTCCCATTCCAAGTTACAATAAGCTTTTGTTGTTGTTAAGTTAATTTGAATGGTTTTAAGTTCATGATCTACGTAGCTTTTATTTTGCTGTCAACAATTTTAATCTATTATAAAGTGATACAAAAGGGGCTTTCCATTTGAAATTAGTATTTTAAAATCAATATTTTAATATGAGAGAATGTTTTTTGTAGATTTTACAACTCCTGCTTTTACTAAAGAATTACATTTTGCAATCGAAGTAATTTTATTGCTAACGCAATCAAATTAAGAAATTTTGACCCTTTATTTGACTTCCAACAAACGCATCTTTATTCATATCTGTTGGACTGGAATAAAAAATAATTATTAAAACGATCTAAATACCAATTAGGTACAGAGAGCATTTCACAAAACTAATCAACACTATTAAGCACTTACCCGAGAATTTTCTAGAGAAACTTTAAATTAGTTTATTATCGGATAGTAGCCGAGAGCCTCATTTAAGTTCTAAATTATATTTAATGCCAAACATTTGTACTAATTGCATTTTCAGGTTAGGATTCTTCAGTTTCATAAAGGTTGCATTTAAATAGAATATAAATAGAGAAAATTTTAAAATAATTTCAGCGATAATTGTATATTTACTTTTAGAAACTAAACAATTTTCACTAAATAAACATAAATATCTCAAAAACAAGAAGATGTAGTTTAATTCTTTAAATAAATTAATCTACAGAACTTTGTACAGAGTATTGTACAGGGTGTTTCTACAGAGTATAGTATAACTGTAGTTAACTCTAGTTCACTATAGAAACTAGCCGAGACCCTTGTCCTACTTCAAGCATTGAAACAACAAGCAACTTTCATTTATCTATCATACGTAAGCTCTTCTTGCCATGTTGTGCCGAAGGACATGGCGTCGATTAGTCTGGGTCAAGTTTCTTGGCACGCATCGTTTTTCTTGTGCCCATTTTCATAACAAACTTCGAATGATTCACGATTATTCACTTAATGTTCGTTTATTTCCGAAATATTGCTGTTTATTTATACCTAATACTTATATGCATCCGGTAGCTTAATACATTTTCTATACTACTCACTGATAACGTAGCTTTTTAATGGTGAAAAAAAAAATTAAATAGGTCTAATAGTTTTTGAGTTATTCCAATATAGATACAAAAATATAAATCTTTCCTCTTTATAATATCAGTTTAGATAAATAATTAAATTTTAAATGAGTTTTTATTTAGTACAAAGTACGAAGAAACGTTCAGAACATTATTTTGCCATCCCAGAATTTAATTATAAGGTTTTTCTAATAGACGTATTTTGTTAACAAATGTCCGTAAAAGCGAGGATAATTAGGGCGTTAGGAAAAGCAAACATAGCGGGGGAGATACGGGTGACATGGTCGAAAGCACATCAAAAGGTTTCGACGTGCTGCAGGCTATCGCGTATGCCTGCCTATCTGTATCAATTTATATTTTATAACGAAAACATTATAAATGTATCTCATTTTATGTGATCCCATGAGGTATTAACATTGAATGATTTTTTTTATGTCATTAATCATTCGGATTCACACATAGATTTATTATTACTTTTTAAGATATTACCGGCTAGTCTAAAGCATAAACTTATCTTTCTATCAGTGAATCACAAAACATTGAATAACTTAACTACACAAGCACAACACCAACACAGCACTAGGGCAGCTTCTCGTGGCAAATACATAGTACCCAGAATTAATAATTATTACGGCGACAGAACAATTGCATTTGTGTTTTCTGTAAAATTAAAAAAAAAATCAGTTTGCTGGTCTATCGATCTTAACTAAGATGTTTGTTAGAAAACAAGGCATTGGCGTTGTAGAGTTGTTTGTTAAATTGGTTTAGTCTAAAGACACGCTTGCTCCGGGGGAAATATCGCACAGACATTTCCTCAACCTACGAGTAGCTACGACCTGTTTTCCATAACAACGTGATCGGGGAAGAGTTTCACAGAATTCTTATTATAGTTAATAAAGAACATACGTGTTCAGTTAGCTTTTTTATATACCAAATGATTATTTTGTTTTATTATATCTGATTTAAATTTTTATTTTGCGTTGCCGACAGATTGATGATGCGCAGTGTAATGTAATACAATACGGCGAGCATTCATGTAAGTAAATACGTAGTGTTACTAGGGAATTCTTCGTGTAGTGTTACGACATTAATGCTCGCCGTGTAACATTTCACAATCAGTATCTAATACGGCACCTTTAGACCATGGATTTTTAAAAGTAATTTTAACCTGTGGTAATTCTAAATAAATTAAAAAAAAGTAAAAATTCTCTTAAATAAATGTAAACATTCATTGAAAGCATTTTTCATATCTACAAAACTGCATTAACTTTCACTGCCGTGTCGAGTTATAGTTTTTATTTTTAGCAGTGACATTTAAAAGTGCAAGTGAAGTGTTTTCGCACGTGAATGTCTCATTAGCCTAATGGCACACGTCCTTTAAATTTAAATGCGCAGTAACATGGCGACTCAACGATGCAAATGATGACTGAACTGTGCAACTGTTTTTAACAAAACGATACCTGAATCTCTTACAACCAGCATAATATCTTTCGAACAGTGAGTTTGCTAAATTATACCATATCAAACGTAGTTTTTCACAGCCAAAGTACGGTGCAAAAATATGCTTTTTACTTGTTTTTTGTTAAGGAAAGAGAGAGATGTAAGAGATTATAATTATAATTAATAAGA